TCTTTCTTTCTTTCTTTCTTTCTTTCTTTCTTTCTTTCTTTCTTTCTTTCTTTCTTTCTTTCTTTCTTTCACACAGTTTTAATAACATCACTAGCACACTTTGCTTATTGTCTCTTAAAGCAACAGAAAAACAAGGTTTGTCTCTTGTTTTTCTCCACCCCCACTCCCAACCTCACCTTGTTGAATTCTCCTGACTTTTATTATTTCTTTGCATTTTCTTTCTTTTCCTAATAGCTACCTTTTGATCTGATAGGTTCACCATCTGGAATGGGAGAAATCTGCAACTATACATCCATACCTGGATCTCTGTTATTTCTCTGTCTATAATTTCTGCCCAAGCGACAATAGATTTAAAGAAATGGGTGAAAGCGATTTACGAATCCATGCATTTAGGAAAATTGACTTCAGATCACAACTTTAGAGGCCTGAAGAAACCCGTTCTCAGAAAGGAAGAAAAAGGGACCTGTCTGTACAACTAACGTTGGGCTTCTCTAAGTTTTATTGCCCTCCTTCTTCCTCTGGCAAAAAAGAACTCTCTTTCACACACACTCGCGGACAGACTCACCCAGGTTTTGTATCTTAACCTTTCTGTGTCTGCGATAAAGAGAATGAGACGAGACGATTCTTGAACTGAAGCAATAATTAAACGGGACGTCTCTCCCGCATTTTCGGTAATCAAAACCAAGCCAAAACGAGGAGAAAATGGGAAGGGGGGAGGGGCGACAGAAAAGCGCAAGGTGGTTTTAAATGAAGCCGGATTTAGGTATTGTTCTGTCTTCTTGGTGGGCGAAAAAGAAGGACGAGAAGCAACAGCGGGGCGGGGAGGGGGGGGGACACCTCATTTCCCCAGTTTAGATTCCAATGAAAAGGCGAAAAATCAACTTCACGCTCTTCCCTGCAAAGCACTTCAGTCCCACCCATCCAGCACAGTTTGCTTTAGCTTAAAACTGAAAGAACTGGACGTTGATGAAGCTCAGAAAATCGTGCGTGTGTTTCTCTTCTTCTTCTTCTTCTTCTTCTTCTTCTTCTTCTTCTTCTTCTTCTTCTTCTTCTTCTTC